AAAGAAAAATGAGTCAGAAACACAATGGCCATTGCTATGTCATTGGCGGGGGAAAGATGAGGTGTTACTATAAAAGACAAGATTTCATTAATAAAATGTCTCCTTTTCCTGAAAACTACACAAAGCCACACATGCAAACTGTGCAGCCACTTCCTACTGAATTTCTTTGAAGGTCACTCTAGCTAATGGAATTTGATGGATTTTCTGGAGACATCAGTCCCCTTCCTTCTAAACATTTCTAGCCTGGAGCTGATATTCATCCATCACTCCATTAAACTCAGTCCCTCATAATTACTCTGTTGTATTTATGAGCAAAACTGACAATTTAATCACTTGTCTCAAAGTTTGTGGTATGATGAGGTACACAGAACCAGATGAAATTAGCTAGTGAGAATAGCATCTGACAGAAGCTCTCACCAGGCCTGCCAGTCACACAGAAGTATTTTTGAGAAAATATGTGTTGTTTAGATCAGTTCTAAGAAGTAAGACAGAAGGGAGGCCAGTGAAAAGCTGCATAATTATAAGTTCTAAATTCTTTACTTGTAAGATTCAGATCCAAGGCACTTTCTGCATTAAAAGAAAAGCAGAGATAAGCACAGTGTTCCTGATGTCAGTAGAAGTAATAGTTGTGAATAAAGATGCTTTTCAATCTAGAGCTTTCAAAATTACACCTGAAGCTTTGACTTTAAAAAAATCCAAAATGTTTTGCTTGTTTACCATCATATGTCATTTAATGATTTAGAAGTATTTAGTTGCATTGCTACAACTTAACTGTGAAAAAATTCAAAATGCAGTCCAAGAGTCAAATTATTTTATCTACCTGTACTTAATCCTCTTGTTACACAGTGAAACTGTTTTTTCCTATGATTTGTTAATGCTCAATAGTGAATTAAATCTTTGGAACACTTGCCCTCCTGCAAAATATCTTGTTGTGGTTAAAATATTTTTTGTAACAAAACTTCCTCTTTTCATGTCACAGCACATGCTGAAACAATGGCAAAAAGATAAATTACTGCAAAACTAATTTTAACTGTTGTAAATGTTTTGTAATGGATTGTAATAGGGATGCTGTAAAGCAGCCCTAATTTCTATAATGTTTAGAACACTGTACATAACAGCTATAGGCATATGGCTTACAGATTTCAGATACAACCTTCACTGGCATTTCTGGGTTCTGTAATGAGCTCAAAACAGTGTAGAAATCTCTCCAAAAGGGTTGCTTACTCCACCCTTCCTTTGTTTCAAAGCAGCTTCTGATTTTTTTTGCCTCTAGGGTTATTTTTAATGTTAGATCATTTCCATTGTTTATCTCCAGAAAAGTGTTTCCAAACCATTTTGCAGTCACCACTGTTCTGAAAAGTTCTATGAGAAACTGAAAGTTATATGTTTCCCTGGCAGATGTGGTCAGAAATATACAACTACCATCAGCATCCTACACCTACAACTAATTCCTTTGCTTTCTAATAGTTTTCCCCCTGATAATTTTTCAGGGAGAAATTAATCCATCAAACATTTCCCAAAGGATTGAATATATCTTTCCATGCTGCAGACCAATAAAGAATGCACCAAGACTAGTGCTATTAATATGGACTGTGTTCTGGAGTGAAGAACAAAGCAGCTGCACAAAGCACCCATGCAAGCGGTCTTGGGAAATACAGGCATCTCTGGATGCCTGAGGATTCCTAAGGATCTGCCATGAGGGATTTACAGGCTGTTCCATGATGGATAAATTCCCTAATTTCTGAGCAAAAGATCATGAAGAAACTCTTCAAAGGCTTGTACCTTCTCAGAGAGTACCCTGTGGGTTTTTCCACAGGAGGGATGGACAAATGAGCAATGTTTGTAGAAAACTCTTTAGACTGGCTGAGAGCTGGAATTCATCCACCTGCAATTCTCTGACCTGTGAACTTCACCACTTCTGTGCTGGTCATTATCTGCTCCTGATACAAGCTAGGGAATACTCTTATGGTATTAATAGGCACAGGGGAAAGAATAGCCTTAGTTTCATCCCACTGCCTTTTTCTGAACCAAGAAAAAACTCACTTGTCTACCACTGACTCTGCAGAAGTTGTGACAGTTTCTGCAGATGTTATGTTCATGTAAAACCTAACTCTGTTTAATAGATCAGGAGATCTACATGCTGGATTTGCCTATGATTTACATCATGACCCAGAGCAGATTACTCTATTTGTAACAGTATTAACATCTGTACAAAGCAATTAAGGATACCTTCTTTGCAGGTTGCTTTCATCCAGATTAAAAAAATATATCCAGCATGCATTAGTATCAGTGCCACTTAACAGATAACTTTCAGTTGCAAAGAGGTCATCTATTTCCAAGTCCGCTTTTCTTGGTGGCACATAGTTCTCTAATCAATCTGGTGCTACCGTGACACTGCTCATGATGAGTATCATCAGGCTTTACTTGTGTGGCAAAGAATTCTGATATCAGACCTCATGGACACAAGGATAAATATAAAAAGTGAAATCCAGTCTGATGTGAGAAGAGGCTGAAGACTATCAGGTCATGCAGCTGAAAGAAGATTCGCATGAAAAATTATGCTGTCCCAGAAGCTGTGATGTAAATACACCTGTGCATGAACACACGGGTCCATATATACAGGTACGTGTGCTCTGTGTTCACAGGGATTGCTTTGTTGGGTTTCAGCAGAGAGCAGGCTGAAGGCAGAGGCTGCAAGGATGGACAAGTTGAACGTATGCAGGTGTTTCTCTATAGCAATGGGTTTCTTTTGCACTAAGAGCTTCCCCCCAGATCAGTTTAACATGGAAGGCTGTTTTTGGAGGCTGGCCAAAACCAGTTGCCCATTGAATGGCTGTAACAAACATATTCAACCAGCACAAGAAGGAAAAGACCTTTATTGCTGCTGTTTCCTTGATGAATACTTGTGCCATCTCCAATTGGCTGCCAAAGGCCCTTTCTTTAGAGGCCATATGTCTTCTCTAAGCAAGCTCTCGCCACACCTCCTTCAGGCTTCCATCTTTCTGCTGTACTTATGCTTGATTACATTTAGTTCATGAATCAATGCAGCTGTAGGATGGTGGCTTTCTTCAGCTTGTGCTCAGAGAGAATATGGCCTAGGGAAGAAGAAACAATTGTCTAACAGCAAATGTTACACACTGGATAGCTCATATGGATTTTCTTTCTAAATAGCTCTTTAAAGGGTTGCTGGGACACAAGTTATTTTAGTTCTGCCATAAAGTGCAGTGTTTCGGGGCACCCCCCCCGATTAATAATTTTCACATTCTGAAATCTGTCATTTATACCTCCAGGCACTGCCAATTCAAGCAAATACAAAAAAGAGCATTCACAACACCTCAGGGCATATTTCATCTGTTCTTCTACACTAAGCAGGTCTGACCTGCTCAGAATTTATCTGGGAGACCTCCAGAGAACAGAAAGAAGAGTACAGGAATGGGCAGATCTTGTGAGGCAGCTGATATTTCTTGCCAATATAAATAATGCAACATCTCTGGGAATTCAAACCTTGGTTGTTTAAAAAATAGCACAGTTTCTTCCACAATCTACCTATATTGGCACTGAAGCACTGTATGACTAGAGATGCTACCTTCCAAAAGGGATTTAAAACTGAGATTCTGCAGTTCTTTGCTCAAATTCAGGTTGTTAACTATGGCCACATTCCATCTCAAGGCAATGAATTACATACTGTTTCCAATAGTCTTGAATGTCAAAATTATTCTTCACACCTCCTACTGAAGCACACAGTCACTGCCATGTTCCACTTCAGACAAGGCTGTATTCAGTGAGGAGTCTTGCATACACACTTAGCAAAGGAGTTGAAATCAGACAGAAGTATGAAATTACTTTTTTAATTATTCAGAATGAACTTAAAATCCAACAAAGTTCTAGGGAAACTGTTAAGACTTGCAGGACCTCTCAACTAATTTTCCCAAGCAAATCCTTGTAAGAAATGCAATTACATGAAATTGTGACTTACATTTACTTCCACACTCTCACCTTGCAGTGTCACTAGTTATTCTACAGATTTCCACAGCTCCCTGTTGACAAGCCAGTTGTCTTAACAGTATTCTCCAAATTCTGCCCACATTTCCTCCTCAGAGTTCCTAATTTTTGCCTCTTTTCAGTACCGTGAAATTGATAAGCATTTAATATATGTTTTAATTCTGCCTCTGGCAGTGTACTTTAAACCAGAACTGTTTCCTAGGCAGGGGCTGACCAATACAAAAGGCTGAACTTTCTTAGAAAAATGGCTTAAGAGGAGCCATAACAGAGAGAAAATCCTTCAAAACTGAGAAGATGCTCTTGGGGGCTCATTATCGTACTATGGGAGATTTGTACTTCAGACAGACAGTTTAACTGCAAAGATCTTAAATTGCAATTTATCCCAGTGACATCATGAATCATTGTTTTGTAAAAATCTCTTACAGTGAGGTACCACTCTGCTGTACTTTAAAGAATGTGGTATAAATGCTGCTAAAATACTGTCAGCTGAGTGTTTGGATATTCTAATTTTAGCCTTGTTTATTATGCTTCATCTCCATGGCATTTTTAGGCAATTCATGTACCAGCAATGTTAGAAAATTCTTTTTTTTCAGAGAGACCACATGGTCACTAGGACATTGATGATGCTTCTCGTGATTTCTCTATGGACACATTCACACAATTAGGTCCTTTAATGTAAAAGTGCATGATGCCCTTACAATTTTCTTGTAAGAAGCACTGACAGAACTATTTTTAGGAAGAAAATCCATGTTAAAATTCTACTCTTCCTCCAGCAATGAGACTACTAAGCCATTCTGATTGATTTTTCAACCATGCTGAAGCAGCTACAAGAAGTTAGGATAGGGAGACTGTGGCCTACATAGCTGTTAAAAGTGTGGAGCAGAAAGATGCATAAATACAAATTCTAACATTAAATAAAAGGAATGGAGTTACTGTTGTTCGAGTGGCAACTTACTGTTCAAGTGGCAACTTACAGAAAGCTGCTATCAACACGTTGGTAAGAATTTGTTTTTATTAGCTGTCATGGGACTTCTTTGTCTGTGTGGATCTATTTTAAACAGTTTTCCCCTTTCAGCACTCCCTGATAATAAGAAACTTATGTAAGTGCTCTTATTCGGAAAGACTCTTGCTTTGGTCTTCTTATTTTGTCTTGAGAAAACCAAAGGGCTCAGAAAGCATACAAAGAGAGCTTACATATTCAAAAGGTGCAGCAGGCAGCTGAGATAAACTGCAAGGGCAGGATTAGTGGGACTGTAGACTTCACAGTTCAGCTGTTTGCAGATGAGTAATTAGAATCCTCCACCCAGTAGCACCAGTATCTCCTTCTCAGTAGCACTGTGAGGTAATATGAAGACTTGCATTAGTCATAGTGATAGTTGAAAAAAACAAACAAACAAAAAACCAAAACCAAACTTAAACCTTTTTTCCCCTTTCTTCTATTGTGACAGTAAGAGCAACATCCTCCCACCCTGCGAGGCAATAATTTGGCCTTTCCTACAAGCTTCTGAGAAGGGTGTATCCAGAAAGCACAGGTGGATCTGGGAGTGTGATTGGTGGTGTGGCTCTCTGCAATAAAGGTGGGTGTGGAGAGTAGCCTGCTATATAGCTGGGGCTGCTGGATGTGGTATCTGTGGCAAGCCTGCTAGCACAGTTGGAGAGGATGTCTCCTAATATGGGATCTTCCTGCTAGTAAATCCCTTTCTGGTCTGTACTAAAACACTAAAGAATAAGCATATTTTTTTGGTGTTGTTTCTAAAGGCTGTAATCTAGTTGGGAGCCAGGGTAATATATAAGGCTAGATTTTGTGTAGTAATTTCATAGCAATCCCTTAATGTGCAAGGCTGAATCTCCTGTGACTTCTAGAAATGAAGTGGGGTCTGTGAGAGGATCTGGTTCATGCTTAGAAGTTTGTTTAAAACCTGTGCAAAAATAGCAGACAGGCTGATGTCAGCTGTAGTTGCTAAAACCTACTCTACTGTAATTAAAAGTTAACCTATAACAACTTCCTGATAGGCTTTATAAGAAAATTAGCTATCTTACAGTGAAGCTAGGCTAGCAAATATTATTGTAGAATGACTTTCTGCTTTCTCTCACCCTTGGAAAAAAGTTTGCTTCTTAACTCTCATAAAAGATCAAAGAATAAAACACATTACTGCTCTTTATGACAATGTTTCGAATTCAGATAAAACATTTTCTAACTTGGTTGCAATAATAGGGGGAAAAAAAGTGAAGACATAAAATGACACAAAGGTTTAATTCCTTAGTAGCAAGTATACATTTTACTACTGTTTCTTCAGAAAAGCAAAATGTAGGTGCACTTTTCTCCTAGCCTAATCAATTATATACAAAATTGACTTTTGTCCTTTTTTTTGTTTGTTTGTTTTTTTTTTTTTTTTAGCCAGAGTTGTTGCTTTGGATACTTTATGCAATTCACATAGAGCGGTCTGTGTCAGCAAGACGCAGAAATTGTGGTTGAAATGCTTCTGCTGCCTCATTACAGATCCCAAGTCAAGAATCAATAGGAAGACATATATAAAAGTTGGCAGTGAGCCACCAAGGCCTAGTTTGTCAGTCTTCATATGAGAATAAATACTTTATCCAGCACAGAAACAAGTGCTAGCCCTTAGATCTGTAAAGAGAGTAAATCAGTGCTTTTCTTGTTTTCTGCTGACGATGTTATTAGCTGTTCACAGTTTGGTATCATGCAGTGATGATTTACTGTAACAAAAATTTCCAAGTCATAAGCTTTTTTCCTGGACATTAATAAGTTTTGTCCAATTCAGGCAAAATATTCTTTTTAATTTTCTGTTTCACCTCTTGTCCTAATTATAAGTTATGTTCTCATAAAACTTAGTAAGTCTCTTGATAATTAATTTAAAAATGATAACTTCGGGTATCCCGTGAAAGATGTCTGGAGGGAAAGTGTAGAACCTCATTCCCCTGAATGAGAAGATGAGAGATTAATGTACTTCTAATGGTGCAAAGCATTATTCTTAGAAATAGCAATGTGTTGAAGCATTTTTGTGACAAGTTTTTCAGTGTTTTATTACTGTTTTAGATAACTTCCTCTTCTTGCAATAGCATGCATTGGTTGGTCTCTAAATCACTTGATTTAATGCCCACTCTCTGGTTTTTCTAGAGCATAATATTTTTCCTGTACCCATCCTGAAGAACAACTGTAAGGCTAAAGTGCAGTGCAGACAATTAGCTCCTTATTCATTGGCATGCACAGACTGAATCTACTGCTGTTACTTTCTATCTAGGTGTTGATTGTTTGTTTCCATGTGAAAGCTAATAATGTCTTTTTTTCTTTTTTCTTGCTTTGTTAATGATGTCTACAACTGGACTTGTTATTAATTTAACCTTTGGGCATGGATGGATTAAAAAATATTATTTCCCCCTCTTGTGTCCTAATGTTTTCAGTCTGTCTGCATTTAAATAGCTGAACAATGAAATCTTAATTTTCCTCTGAAGCATGTGATAATCTCTTCCCTATTTTACTGGTTGCAGACTAGATTCTCCCATGATGAATCGTGCATTTGAACACACATTATGCTGGCTTGGATCAGGGTTGAGTCTGTAATTTTACTTGTATTTGATGTAAATACATATATATATATACATACAGATGTATTAATTATATTTTGTTTCTTCTCTATATTTTTTGCTTTTAACTTCCACACCCCTGTGTGCCTCCGCCCCTCCCCATACAATACCCCTCAAGGCTTTTTAACATCATGGCTGGCCCCATGGTCCAAGAACTTCTAGGAGTGGGGCTGGGGAAACAGCTAGAATCTCCTATAACATTCAGCTTCTTGCACAGGGGCACTGTTTACTATGAACCATTACTAGGATGCTGAGGCTAATCTTTCCAGATTTAATCAAAGGCTCCTAAACAGGAGCATAAAGGTTTCTAAAGCATTTACTGTAGCCTTCAGACATGTTATTAATGAATGTTATCCCTCTTGCCTCCTTTTGTGAATGTGAACAGCTTTTATGTAACATTGATACAACAGCTGCTGAAAGAACTAACACTTCATAATCCTGATCATCACAGTACCAAGTATATGTATGGATAACACAATCTAACAAGTACATCTTCTAAAATTTTAAAACCAGTTGTTAAATTTTTATGGTATTTTGGCAAATATTGCAGTTGAAACAGTTTGGGTTTTTTTTTTCTGAGTGTACTATAACTGGTGAGGCTTGTAATGCTTGGCTTTAATGCAAAAAGATAAAGGGAATTCCCCCTCCTCATCCATGATAATCCTCTGTAGTTTTTCACTGTTGACCTTTTCCCTTCCCCCATCTTTATTTCCTTTAATATCTCAATCCTGTCTGACAGAGTAAAAAATGGTCTCTTGTAAAACACTGCTCCTAGTTTTGTATTTGAAAATGCACTATCCTAAAACTGGGGAGAAAGCCATTGTGTTTGAGGCTTTGTGTCCATCCCTTCTCCCTACTTTCTCACTGGGGAAACAAAAAATACATGAAATACATTTGCTTTGAGTCAGTAACTTCTGTCTTCTGGTTTTCCAAGAATAGCCAAATGCTGCCATTGGCTCACTAGCTGTCAGGGAGACAGTGGAGACTGAGAAATTAATGCAGCCTCTTAAAAATACCAGCCCAAATGCATGCTCATCATGAGTCATGGCTGAGTGCTTGGGTTATTTCACTCCTGCAGCTTTTCTTTAGCAGAGACCCAGAGTCACAGAATGGGTCAGGTTGGAAGAGACCCCCAGAGTGGGTCATATGGCCCAACCTCCCTGCTCAATCAGGGACCTCCTAGAGCAGGTGGCAGAGGATTGCTTCCAGACGTATCTTGAATATCACCTATCAAGGAGACTCTGCAACCTCTCTAGACAGTGTGTTCCAGTATGTGGTGACCTGTACAGTAAAGAAGTTTTTCCTCATGTTCCACTGGAACTTCCTGTGCATTGCTGCCTTTTGCCTCTTGTCCTATTGTTTGACACCTCAGAGAATAACATGGCTCTTTTCTCTGACACTCTCCCTTCAGGTACTTATGGACAATGATGAAGTCCCCTCTCAGTCATCTCTTCTCAAGGCTGAAAAGGCCCAGTTCCCTCAGCCTTTCCTTGAGAGATCATTCAATCCCCTCAACATCTCTGGAGGCCATAGCATTTATAGGAAATGGACTCTTCTTGACCCTTCTTGAGAGTACTGTCTGAACTCCTTCCCTAATCTGTCCCTTTTTAATTAACATGTGACTTTTGAGATGTGCGTGTCAAGGGGAAAGCTTGAAAAGCCAGCACTTGGTAAGAACTGATGGCCTATAAAAATAGGCGAATGTGGAAGTCAAAATTTAAATCTGTGCGAGATTCATGGTGTACCCATGGCATGCTGTGTTGTTTTCTCTCTGTAAACCCCAATGGTTCTGGGTTTAACAGGGTGTAACCTGCAACAAATCCTGTGGTGGGGATAGGCATGCAAGGGGTTTGGTAACACTATGTATTGAGAGTAAATGGAGGTAGGGGCAGCTCAAAAAATGGTGAGGTTACTATCTTACTGTAGGTTTGGAGCCTTAAAAGTGTATGCTGGACAAATTTCTTCCTGTCCTGCTGCAAGGAGAAGATGCAGCACTTTGCTAGGAGCCAGGTCCTGGGAGAAGGGAAAAAAGGAGTCTGGAAGGGGAAAGGACCTTGGGCAGAGCTCCTTAGAGGTGAGCCTGGAGATGGCATGCCTGAGTTAGGGGCAGTGTTGGTAGCCCAGCAGAAGTGCCTCTGAAGCATTTAGGTTTAGGTTGGGTATCAGGAAGAGTTTCTCTACCACAGAAAGGGCGATTAGACATTGGAATGGGGTGCCCAGGGCGGTGCTGGAGTCACCATGCCTGGAGGCCTTCAAGGAAAGACTGGGTATGGTAGTGCCACGGTGTGGTTGATACGGTGGTGTTGGGCCATAGCTTGGACTCGATGCTCGGGGGGTGTTTTCTACCCTGACTGAACAGCCCCTTCCCAAAGGCAGCGCCTGACGCTCCAGCACCCGCAGCGGGGCCGGGCCGGGCCGCCAGGGGGCGCTGCGCCGAGCAGGCGGGGGCGGGGCTGCGGGCAGGCCGTGCGCAGGCGCAGCGCTGCCCCCCCGGCGGCGGCGGCGCGCGTCCCCTGCCGCAAGGGCCGCCGGTCCGTCGGCGGCGCGGGGGCGGGCGGGCGGCCCGGGCCCGGACATAAGATGGCGGCGGCGTTGCTGGGGCGGCGGCGGCGGCGGTTGCGGCTGTCGCGGAGCGCGGGCGGTGCGCGGCTCTGCCCGGGCTCGCAGGGCGGATAGAGCGGGGCCGGCGCGGCGGAGCGGGGCCGCCATGGGCTCCCAGGTGCTGCAGATCCTGCGCCAGGGCGTGTGGGCGGCGCTGAGCGGCGGCTGGTACCAGGACCCGCACCAGGGCGCGGGGGTCAATGCGCTGCACCTCTACCTGTGGCTCTTCCTGCTCGGCTTCCCCTTCACCCTGTACATGGTGAGCGCGGCCCCGGCCCGTGCCGGGGGTCGGGCGGCCCTTGCGGGGCCCGGCGTGGGGGGGGAGGGCCGGGAGGGGCCGCCGCGCGCGCGCCCCCTGCCCGCG